GGAGGGGGGAGGCAGCCGTTGCCCGGTGGGCGGGAAGGAGTGTCCTGCCAGCGACTGCCCACGGTAAATGGCATTGGGGTACCACTCCATCTGCCTAGGACACCACACACCCTGGCTCAGGCCCGCGGAGACAGGCCTGGAAACTGCTGGAAGTATCGCAGTACCGCCGCAGTTCCTTCCGCCGCGCAGCGGCAAAAAGTCCCCAGCCAGCCCGGCCGCCCCTCCCGCAGCAGGAGCTCAGCCCCGCGTCTCCCTTTTCGTGTTCCCGGGAGGGCCAGAATCCGGGGCTGCCCGGAACCGGGCCCCGAATTCCACACCATACCGTGGTTGTAACGCGCGATGCACATTGCAGATTCTAGGGGAGGGGGTGGAAGGGCTTGAGAACGGCAGTCGGGGGTGGCTACACGCCTCCGCTCTTTTCGGGGTCCCTAGAGGCCTGGCCCCTTGGTATGGGGACTTCACAGGTTTTGGGGGAGGTGTGCGTGGTCCTCGTCTGATTCACTGCCTGTGTCATACCACCACTTCCAACCCCGATCCTGGTGGGATCATGTCCTAGATTTGCAGAGGTGGAGCTGTGGAGACAAGCACACGTGTGAACAGACCCAAAGCACGTCTGCAGGCAGAGACCGAGGCGGGCGGCTCGTGCTCTTTCCCGCCCCGAACCCTCCCCGTTTCGGACCATGACGTCAAGGTGGGCGGGAGGCGGCAGGTGCAGCATCCTCCTTTAAGGCGGAGGGATCTGGGGCGGGCGACTGACTGTGCTGCGCCTTATATAGGGCGGCCGGGGACGCACAGGAGCTCTCTTGAGTCACCCCCGCGCAGCGAAGGCTCCGCGTGCGAGTCGGACTCGGTCCCGGCCCACTCTGCTCGCGGTTATTCGCCTTTCTTTCTTTCAAGGTAAGGCCGGGTCGTCTCCTCCAGCCTTGTCTTTCCAGCCCTTTCGCGTTGCTTTCGTCCCTTCCGCCCCCGTCAGGGCCCACGTTACCTTGACACCGGGCGGCCGGTGGGCTAACACCAGTTTTAATTTTGTTTTCTAAATCGGGGTGAGTGATGGGTCAAGGTCTTAAGAGTCTGGCTTCGTTTCTCTCTTGTGTCCTCTGGCCTGGAGGCTTCCCGCAGGCAGTGACTGTCCCAGGCGAGGTGGGCTACCGAGCGTGCTTGGGGTAGGGGCGGCTGCACGTGGTGTCCTCGCGAGCCCGGGACGCTGCCATGCTTGCCTCCACTTCCGGATGGGACGGGGGTTCGCGGTGCAGGGGTGCGCCTTTGGGGTGACTCAGCACGGCCCGGCGTGACTGCCGCTGCCACCTCCTACCGCACCCGGTTTTCAAGTTTTTTCAGAAGCTTTATTTCTGCAAGGGTAAAGGAGGAACGTTTTCAGTCCCCTCGGGGCCCACCGTCTTTCCAGCCTTCGAGATCCTTCCTCCAGTCCCAGGGGAGGAGGAGCTGGGAGGGGGCAGGCTCTGGAAGATTCATGGGCTCCCTCCCCCGCCCCTTCCCGAGCGCTGAGATTGTTCTGGAAGCTTCTGGAGCCTGGCGCCCCGCCCCGGTGCCCGGATGCTAGAACGAAGGGAGGGTGCGCGGTGGAGCCCCCTCCTCTAGTGGCTCCCGCCGGCGCCTGGCCGCATGTCAGGCAGTGACGAGGGTCGGGTGACCCGCAGCTGCGGCCACCATCTTACTTAGACTGTAGATCTCCGTGTTGAGAGGGGTCATGGTGGACCTGATTGAATTGGTCCTTGGGACGAATACCCATCGATCCCCCCCGAATATGTTACCCTGCTTGGGAGCAGGAATCCCAGCCCTGTGCAGATCTGCATTTGTTGGATTTAGGAGATAGATGAGAGGGGCCGGTTTGTGTTAAACTAGTCACGTGTTTCCCCCTAGGTCAAAAAAAGAGAACTGTGGTTTTCATGCCTAGAACTACTTAGAAAGGTTATCTGCGGGTTCTTACTCCAGGTACCTGAGTTGGAGCCCGTATCATGTCTCTAGCAAGGTACCAGGTCATGATGAGCCTTTCAGTCACCAGTAGTTGGGCTTTAGGATGGCTTTTTTCCCCTCTCTCTAATCTGAATTCACATTTGGTTGAAAAACATAAGCTTTTCTCTCCTTTCTGAATTGGCTCCTCATTTAATCTGTCCTTGTGTTTGAAAAGAAGAATTTTTATCTTGGGAATGTCTTTATCGAACCTGAAATAGGAGCTTTATTTAGGATTCTAGAAATGCAAGGCCATCATGTTCCTTTGTCATTCTTTAGATGCCTGAGGAAGTACACCATGGCGAGGAGGAGGTGGAGACTTTCGCCTTTCAGGCAGAAATTGCCCAGCTCATGTCCCTGATCATCAATACCTTCTATTCCAACAAGGAAATTTTCCTCCGGGAGTTGATCTCTAATGCTTCTGATGTGAGTGCTGTGTTTTGTTTTGTTTTGATTGATGTGTTTCAGAACACCCCAGATGAGGGAGATGGGGTGCTCTGCCATTTGGTGGGGGCGACTGTTGAAGTGGATAAACTAGCAGCTGTTCAAAAAAATTTGCATTCTGGCCACCTTTAGCTAGAAAAGGAAAGTACTGTGTCCTGGGCAAGTGGGTAATGTAATTGTATGGTGATTTAGCCTTAACTTTTAAAAATTATTATTTAATTTAACCAGAGTTCAGTGTTAAAGGGTATTCAGAATTTAGGCTATTTAGGAATAGAAAACCAAGAGATGTTTGGGTGATGAGATGGCCTTGAATAACGCATTAGCAAGACCCAGCTGTGGTGGTGTATGTTAAGATCACTTCTGGGAGCACTCAGCAGGCTGGGTTCTATGTCCATGAGAGGCCCAGGTTCATTTCCCAATCCATTCTAAATGCCAAGTACAAGTTAACTGTAATCACAGTGATTCAGGAGGAATCTGGTACAGTAAGACCTTGTCTTTTGTTCTTTTTTTCTTTTTCTTTTTGAGAGCTTTTTCCTGTAGGGCACGTGCACTCTCCATAAAGACAGACAGAAAGGGAGAAATCACCTCCCAGGGGGGATGGTCATGCCACAAATCCCTTCTCCATTCTCATCTGGGGATCTTGGGCGCACACGCACCAAGCCACTGGGTCCAGGACTCGAACCATGGTCGACTACGGGGAGTACAGCAACATAGCCATTAGGCCAACTGCTGGCCCCAACCTTTTCTCTTTTTTTTTTTCCCAAAGGCAGGAATAAATTGCTATTTGTATTTTCAGGCCCTGGACAAGATTCGCTATGAGAGCTTGACAGACCCTTCCAAGTTGGACAGTGGTAAAGAGCTGAAAATCGACATCATCCCCAACCCTCAGGAACGTACCTTGACTTTGGTGGACACAGGCATCGGCATGACCAAGGCCGACCTCATAAATAATTTGGGAACCATTGCAAAGTCTGGTACTAAAGCTTTCATGGAGGCCCTTCAGGTATGTGATGCTTCAGATACACATCTCATTCACGTTGATCAGTGTTGTTTGGCTTGCTGTTTTTTTCCCCCCCTTTAAAACTTAAGTTTGACACAAAACTTTATGGCAGGCTGGTGCAGACATCTCCATGATCGGGCAGTTTGGCGTTGGCTTTTATTCTGCCTACCTGGTGGCAGAGAAAGTAGTTGTGATCACAAAGCACAACGATGATGAGCAGTATGCCTGGGAATCTTCAGCTGGGGGTTCCTTCACTGTGCGTGCTGATCATGGTAAGTAGGCCTTCTAAAACATGGGTGGGCTTTCTCTGGGGGGAACCCAATGGTAGAAATTCTGAGCATTCTGTCTGCAAAGCAGTTCTCCTTTGTTGAAGTATTTATATGATTTTACTTTCTAATACCCTATTTTGGTCACTTTCTAGGTGAACCTATTGGTCGGGGTACTAAAGTGATCCTCCACCTTAAAGAAGATCAGACAGAATATTTAGAGGAGAGGCGGGTAAAAGAAGTGGTGAAGAAGCACTCACAGTTCATAGGCTATCCGATCACCCTTTATGTGAGTATGAACTGGTAACCTTCCATTGTCTCACATGCTGGTTGTCTGCTGCCCTGAGAATCTTTCTGACTTTTGCTCTCTCTTGTGGTCTGTACTTTAAAACTGACTACTGTTTTTGGTACTTTAGCTGGAGAAGGAACGAGAGAAGGAAATCAGTGATGATGAGGCAGAGGAAGAGAAAGGTGAGAAAGAGGAGGAAGACAAGGATGATGAAGAGAAGCCCAAGATTGAAGATGTGGGTTCAGATGAGGAAGATGACAGTGGTAAGGACAAGAAAAAGAAGACCAAGAAGATTAAGGAGAAGTACATTGATCAGGAAGAACTGAACAAGACCAAGCCCATTTGGACCAGAAACCCTGATGATATCACCCAGGAGGAATATGGAGAGTTCTACAAGAGCCTCACCAATGACTGGGAAGACCATTTGGCTGTCAAGGTGAGAATCTTTGCTCTGGGTGTTGCAGGTAGACACAGATTAGAGAAGATAGATAAGGGTGTTGCAGTTGGAGACACAGGGATTGTACCTGCCCAACTGGTTGGTAGTTTAGAACTGTGGAACCATTTGGGTTCACTTTCTGATGACTACGATGGTGGAGCAATTCTACCTTTCCCTGTGGTCTCACTTCCTTTATGTGGGGATTGTACATCCTTTGCCATGTTAGGTTGGTTAGGACATTAAGTCTAATTTTCTCCAGCCTTTCTCATAGTGTCTATTCATCTAATGCTTAGAGGAGATCATTGCTCTGGTTTCAGATCTTTGCTGTTGGGATTAAAAGGTCGTCTTGTCCTGAAATACACCACTAGCTTATTTTGGGGTTTCTTTTCAGCACTTCTCTGTGGAAGGCCAGTTGGAATTCAGGGCATTGCTATTTATCCCTCGCCGGGCTCCCTTTGACCTCTTTGAGAACAAAAAGAAAAAGAACAACATCAAACTCTACGTTCGCCGTGTGTTCATCATGGATAGCTGTGACGAGCTGATACCAGAGTATCTTAGTGAGTGTCTGCTTGGTCTGATGTAACTGGGTACAGTCATTATCTATGGTTGGTAGTTAATGGTTCTTTGCCATAGCAAATGAAGGTTCAGGGTTGGAGCTTTCTGTTTGAATCTGGGTGACCAGGTGTGTCCTGGCTGCATTTACTGATCTTTCTACTCTGGTTGATTGTAGACTTTATCCGGGGTGTGGTTGACTCTGAGGACCTGCCTCTGAACATCTCCCGAGAAATGCTCCAGCAGAGCAAAATCCTGAAAGTCATTCGTAAGAACATTGTTAAGAAGTGCCTTGAGCTCTTCTCTGAGCTGGCAGAAGACAAAGAGAACTACAAGAAATTCTATGAGGCATTCTCTAAAAATCTAAAGGTAATGAGGCAAATGCTAATTTCCTGTGACCATTTTCTTAGATTAATTTTTCCCGTCAGGTAGGGGAATTAAGAGGTGTTGGTTTCAGTTGTATTGTGTTCTCTCTTCCCACCATTGAAGCTTGGGATCCACGAGGACTCCACTAACCGGCGACGCCTCTCTGAGCTGCTGCGCTATCACACTTCCCAGTCTGGAGATGAGATGACTTCCCTGTCCGAATATGTTTCTCGCATGAAGGAGACTCAGAAGTCCATCTATTACATCACTGGTGTGGAGCCTGGGTCGGAGTAAAGCCGGGGGAGGGGGGGGCACGGGCAAGGTGGTGATGCCACCTGGGAACTCTTGAGTATTGAGGCATTTTGATTTTGGTCCATGGGTCACTTCAATAACCTTGCAGGTGAGAGCAAAGAGCAGGTGGCCAATTCTGCTTTTGTGGAGCGGGTGCGGAAGCGGGGCTTTGAGGTGGTGTACATGACTGAGCCTATTGACGAGTACTGCGTGCAGCAGCTCAAGGAGTTTGATGGGAAAAGCCTGGTCTCGGTTACCAAGGAGGGCCTGGAGTTACCTGAGGATGAAGAGGAGAAGAAGAAGATGGAGGAGAGCAAGGCCAAGTTTGAGAACCTATGCAAACTGATGAAAGAGATCTTGGATAAGAAGGTTGAGAAGGTAACGACTGCCTTTGGGCCTGCTTCCCTTAGAATCGCAGGTTAAACAGCTCCAACAGCTCGTGGTTTTAAGCAACCAGTGAGTCATCTACCTCTTGCTTCCTTACTCAGGCTTAAAGCTATATATAAAATTTGGTATAGAGTGGGCATTGTTTCAGCTATTCCTGGGAGTAGGAACTTAAAATACCGTTGTTTTTGCCCTGAAGTGGTTTGGTTACTGTCGTGTCCACAGGTGACAATCTCAAACAGGCTTGTGTCTTCACCCTGCTGCATTGTGACCAGCACCTATGGCTGGACAGCCAACATGGAGCGGATCATGAAAGCCCAGACCCTTCTGGACACCTCTACAATGGGCTACATGATGGCCAAAAAGCACCTGGAGATCAACCCCGACCACCCCATTGTGGAGACGCTGCGGCAGAAGGCTGAGGCAGACAAGAACGACAAAGCTGTCAAGGACCTGGTGGTGCTGCTGTTTGAAACTGCCCTGCTCTCTTCTGGCTTCTCCCTTGAGGACCCCCAGACCCACTCCAATCGCATCTACCGCATGATCAAGCTTGGCCTGGGTGAGTAGCCCTGATACCCGAAACAGCAGGCTAGCTGCAGAGCAGCCCTCTCGACGCTTAACTGCTATTTGCTTAAGATCTCACTTGGCTTTTTCACATTTAGGCATCGATGAAGATGAAGTGACAGCAGAGGAGCCCAGTGCTGCTGTTCCTGATGAGATCCCCCCACTCGAGGGTGACGAGGATGCATCACGCATGGAGGAAGTAGATTAGGAGTTACTGGGAAACCTCATATCCTCTGTATAGTGCCCCCGTGGCTCCCACAGCAGCCCTGAGTGGCCCTGTCCCACTTGGCTCCCTCTGCTATGTCTATAGTGTTTGTTTTTTCCTGTCCCTATCTAAGACAGGAAATAAAGGCCTCTCGTGCCATCCCCTTCCTAACTTGACAACGGGGTTGAATGTTGTGTATTGTGGGTTTTTTGTTTATTTTGTTTTGAAACTAAAGTATGCAAAATAAAGATGATGCAGTTTTATACAGTTCTGCCCTCCCTTGTAAAGTGGATATAATGCTTCTGTTACCCAGTTCTTACCTTGGCTGTCACCCTGAGCACAGAAGGCTGAAATGATTTTCTGGGTTACATGGCATGCACATGGTCCTAGTTGAGTTGGAAGGGGCTCACTGAAATCATGAGGCCAAATGTTTGGAAAAGCTGTCACATCCCCAGTCAACCAAAACACAGGACCAAGTCCACTGCAGCAATTTAATTTAATAAAATAAAATTATAGGAGCAAAAAGTTACATTTTCCAAGTACCAAAACCTGCAACTGGCTCACTGGTCAGAGCCCAAGGACCCAGGGGCAAGGTGCGGTGTAGCTGGGTAGGGCGCTCATCCCCTCCCTCAGCACAGCACCATTCCACTGCCCTCCTGGGGAAGCAGCATTTGGAACCTACACTTGTGCTTTTCTCACCAGAGTAAGAAATGCAGGTATCTGGGAGTCAGAGGGTAGGGGACAAAGCACAGGTGACAGTCAATGCCACTGCCTTGGGAACTTACTGGGGAGGCAGCTGTGGAAGAAGGTACCTCTGCCCTCTAGACCTCAAGGTCCCGGAGGGCTCATCTCTACCTTGGGGCTCAGGAACCTGCCTACTGGAAGATGGGTGACTTTTAAGGCAAAGGGAAAAGGCTGCCTCTGGGGCTCCCCACCCCCAGTTGCAGAGCTGGTTTGTGATACTGAGAAAAAAACCTGCATTTTACCTTTGAGCCAGTGCCTCTCAGAAAGTTACAGTAGGAGAGGAAAATCGGTGGTATGTTTGAAAGGTCCTAATTTGCTTCATCCCTCAGACCTTCTGCACAGTGGACTCTGGCATCTTCTTTCCCCTTTGTTTTACACGGCCCCGGGCGTAGACGCGGAGCAGGAGGGCAGCAAAGACCACAGCCACCCCCAGCCCTCCCACCACGGTGACAGTGTGGCCATAGAGGAGGCAGGAGAGGAGGATGGCAAAGGCCTGACGGAGGGTCATGATGATGGTGAAGACAGCGGCTCCAAACTGCCCGATGGTGTAGAAAATGAAGAGCTGGCCACATGCAGAGCAGACAGACAGCAGCAGGGCATGAGCAGCGAACTCGCTGTGTCGCCCCATGAAGCGAGTCCCCTCCAGGAGGGCACCCTGCTCTAACAGGGAGCCCACTGTAAAAAGGCAGGAAAAGAAATTGACCCCAAACATCATCTGCACCGATGACATCTTATAGGCAAACAGGGCATCCTGCCAGTTTGAGGTGAAGCTGTCAAAAATAATGTAGCCTGCCAGTAAGATGAGGCCTGAGAGAGTGGTGGCTGGGGAGCTGCGGGGCTCTGGCCCACTGGATAGCAGAAACATGCTGACCCCAATGGAGATGAGCCCAGCAGTCAGGTACTCCCAGTGTTCGTAGCTGCGCCGAGACACCAGCTTTCCCATCAGCATGACAGGGATCACCTTAGAGGCCTTGGCCAGCACCTGGGTAGGGAAGCTGACAAACTTGAGAGCTTCATATTGGCACCAGCTGCTAAGCACATTTGACAGGCTGGCAAAGGAGTACCGGTACATAGGTGCCCCATGCCGGGGCTGCTTGCAGAGGATGCAGTAGAGACCAGCCACAATCAGGGCCAGCACACGATTCATTAGCACCAGGAACTGTGAGTCCGTGAAGCGCTCACCCGGTGATGTGGCTGTGGCCCCATAGCTGCGGGTCATCACTCGTTCCTGCAGGACACCCCAAGTCAGGTAAGACACCTGGGTGGGGGGAGGTGGAGACAAGGCAGAGAAAGTAAAGGTAGACCCAGTAGATCTCAACAAGTCCCCTTTCCTTGGGATGATGTAGAAATGATTGAAAGGGTAGCACAGTTTTTGGTGTCTCCCTCACCCACTTTCCCCCACCTGTGTCTGGACTTACCTCGTAGGGAATCAAGTATATATGAAAAAGTTAACAATAACTGCTTTAGGGCTCCCCAGACCCAGCCTGCCCCACAGTGCAGAAACGGGATGTCAGAGCAGACTCCATCAGATATATTTTCAACCAATTCAGGGAGGCAAGAATTTTCTGTGTTCGATACCTGGATGTCAACATGGCCTATACAATGTGAAACCCCTACTCACTCCAAAATGTCATGTGGTCAGCATCTTAGCAGCCTTCTCACATGCAAATACTGGGGGTAGTCCAAACGGCTCCCACAAGCCCTCATTAATGGGCTTACAGACCCAATAGTGCAAGAAGTATAAAGGCGGCACAGTAAAATTCACAGGAGAGGGGCTGGCAGGTGGTGTGGTTGGGGAAGATGGATTTCCACATGGCCAATTGCAGTTCAAATCCTGGACCCAGCAGCTTGTTTTCTCACTTTCCCTCTCTCTCTCTCTGGTCTAATTAAAGTAATAATAAAGTTAAGTGAAGAAATTATTTAAAAAAACAAAAACAAAAACACAGGAGAGAGAGGAGATGTGAAAGAACAGTTGAACATGCAGTACCAGAGAAAGAAAGAGGTGAGAGAGAAGACAGCGTTTCCTACAAAAACCTCCAAGATGGTGGCTGTGTGACCCTGGGAAGAGGGGAACACAGAACTGCAAAACAGCAACCCTCTAGGACTGGTAGGAGGAAAACTTTGGTTTCATAGCATCCTTGTCCAACAAGACCCAACCCAGCAAGAGAAGTAGTCTGCCTACCTGGAGCCCGGAGGCACAGAAGAGCAGCTTCAGGGCCTGCCAAGTGGGGGTGGTCTCTGTTGTCTCTGTCCGGGGAGCCAGGGGAACCTCATCGGAGGCCTTGGGCTCGTAGCCAAACACACATGCTTTCACCAGGGGGAAGCAGAGACCTCTGCCTGAAGAAATCACACAGTGGAGCCCCAAATCTTGCCAGTCACCTCACCTACCCCAGAGCAGCCAGCCTATCCTGCGGTCCAGCCCACTGGCCTCCCTCCCTCCTTCCCCAATGTATAGCCTTCTTAACTGTTGGCCAACACCTGCAGTCCGGACCTAACCCACTTCCGGGTCCTTCTCCACACACCTGTCTCCAGGTAGTTCTTGCGCTTGAAGTACTGCACCAGGAAGTAGCCAGGTACCATGAAGCTGGCATAGCCAGCAGCATTCACCATAAAGCGGACGAACCATAGCTGGGTCCACGACTCCGGAGGCGCTTCAGGAGTCTCTCCGCCTGCCCCCAGGGAAGGGAGCGCAGCCAGAACCACCACTGCCCACCACCTGCAGAGACATTGGTCCTAAGGATTCGGGTGCGCGTCCGCAGCCCCTCGGCCCTCCAGAAGGGACCACACCGGAGAAGAGCCTGGCGACTCCTCCCCGCCCCCTCCGCTGCAGCCCAGCCAGGACAAAGAGCCTCTCTCTCTCGGGGGGCAGCCGCGGACCGAGCCGGGCCTCCTCCCTCCCCAGGGGCGGACCCGCCCCTTCGGCCACA